CCCCTGAAGCTAGTCTCAGTTGTCCTATCTGTGTCCAATGCGTTCCACTGATGCTGAGCACCTCGAGGTTGTATCTTTTCATTTCTGCCGCAACTTGAAATAGTCTTCCAGTCTCCCACAATGTACGAACGTTCCATGTACCTAAAAGAATGGTTGATCTGGTTGTCAGAAGAGGCATCGGCCCCGTGACTTCCAAAGGAACTCGGCTTTCATCACGCGGTGTCATAATTCTTCTTCCAACTCCCAGAGCAGTATTAAAATGGTTTGGATTACTTTTTCTGGTTAGCGTTTTTTTTGGCAAGTTAGTTTTTGATGGAATGGGGTCTCCAACTCCATGCCCAAGCCTCCTCCTTTATCCGGGCTTGGGACCGGCAGTAGCCCCGAAGGTTCTACTGGCGGAGTTCAACACGTCAATAGGGTGTAAGTTATTATTGTGATTCTCTGATTTTTCTGTAACCACTCAATCATTACATCATGTTCTTTGATATTTGAAATGTCTAATCATATAGCTACAGAATTACCCGCTATTCTTTCATATATTTATCTATCTCAAAAGTAATAGAAACATCTAAAAGATGGTCTGTTCACTTTAAGTACATTTCTACATAGAATGATTCGAGGAATATTTAATAACTTTACAATATGAGCTTTTCAAGCAAAAAAATGTACTTAGACATTATTTATCCTGTAACTGTTTAGTGTTGATGAGATATTAAAAAAAAACTATAAAATAAGTAGTTTTAGCTACAGATAAATTTTTCTTTTGCATCTTTAAATAAACGTAAACGTCGATTATTAATCAAATATTTGAGATAGAGTAATTCTTGTTGGAACGTTAATTTGAAAATGTAACACTGATTACACATGAGAGATAGAAAGTACATTGCTTTTACAATTAATTAGTCAATCAGTAGGAACCAATTTCATGTATGTCAAGACCAATTATATTGATCAAGTTGAAATTCATCTACTAGTCAAAGCGGCCCGTCATAACGCTCATTATTTGGAAATGTAGATTGGTGGTTGAGGTTAGTCGTTCCAATAACTTCCTCATAACGCTACAACATTAATGGTGGGTATCCAACCAGCACAACAACAACTCAATTTTTTATTTCAAAAAAAAGTTAATCTAAATACGAACATTTTAAGCCACAAGAATTTGTCTAAACATATGCTTTAGTGTTGTTGAACAATCTACAAAATCGATGTAGTTATTACGATAATAAACAAGTTACAGAATGATAGTCAAGTTTTCCTTGAACTCTGAAAAAATAAATCATATGATAGTAAAACAGAAGAAACCAAAACTAACCGATCTGAAACTCCATGTTTAATTCCCCAAGCTTTAGAATCTAAAATTTTTAAGAAAATAAATTATAAAATCTCTGAATCTGATACAATATCAATAGTACTTAGTTCAAATAAAAGAAAAAAAACCAAGAAGAAGGAAAATGAACAGAAAAAAGTCAAACGAGATTCATCCCAAACATTCAATTTGAATATTAAACACTTTCTTTTCAGTAAAAAAAACCAATAGTAAACTAACCAGGACGAACTGATAGATAGGCGAAATCATGCACTGTACCCAAAGAATTCTGAACTATACACTCGACAATTGAATCTTCAGTAATGTTATGCTCTTTTTCGACCACAGTCTTAAAGTCATAAAAAAAGAGTAATAATGAGAGGGAAACTTATTTAAACAAGATAATTACATTATTATTTCAAAAAGTATATGATAAATGGGTTGAAATGGAAAACTATACAAACGTTGGGACATCTGTTGCGTATGTCTAACCGCTAACTACCTCGTCAAGCTATTCTTTGCCATGTAGGAATAGGTTGGAAGAAAGCTATGGGTGGCCAAACCAAAATATGACACAAATCCATGAAGTCACTGACTAGTGGACTAAGTCATGTCGGTTATTGTCGACTACCTGGTTGGGGTCCGCGAGATGATAGTAATCGATGGTTAGAGACCCTGAATGACATGGCTCAAAACCGTTTGCAATGGCGCTGGTGCATTTATTCTTCGTTTTCACTCAAATCCTAACTTTCAGAGTTCTTCATCACTTTCATCTTTTCAAGTTTATTTCACCAGATTCTACTTCATGAATACTTCTATTACCTCTACTACTGCAGGATTTGAAGTGACAATTGCATCTCTGTGCTAATGTGGTATGGCAGCTTGAACTGATATACGTTGTTGACTGACTAATTGACTGATACAAACGATGAAATTACTTAAATTTTAACCGTTGAGATTAGTTCAAATATAATTTCCACAAATAAATATATCTCAATTTTCAGATAGACTTTTCATTATGAATTAAGTAAAGCATAAAAAAGAAAGTAATTCGAAATAGGTCAGAAAACATTAACAGCTTATGTATATGTCTTTTCTATACTATTTATTTTCAAATTAGGAAACTGCAGAAATAAAACATAATAAAACTACAATGAAACACTTCTCAATGCGAAAATCTCTACGCTTTTGCTAAAAGTCTATCTTGAAAAACTAGTGAAATTAAGACTCTTTGAGCAATGAATTCATATATATATATATATATATATATATATATATATACCTATTTCGAAAGCAGTATATTTTGTTTACAACTGCAAATATCCATGAGTATCAGACAAGACTATGGAAATAATTCTTTTTCAAGTGAGAATGGATTATAATCGAAAAATCTATTGCACAGTATCGTAGTTTGTTTGATAGAAATAGATATTTCTTGCTCCTAATGAGATATTAAGTCGACAAAAAAAAGATTAAAAGTTGGTAGAAATCAACTACCTGGAAAATGTAAACAATTAGCTTAGATGTTTATTAATAAAATAGTGAAGTATATTGAAGATAGACAATCTTTGATATGATGTACGTACGCAAGATAAAGGTAGGTGAAAATGCTATTCACATTTAATGATTTACCCGATTATTGAGAATCATCGTATCATTTCTCGGACCAGTCCCCCCAAAAATGCATGGAATTCTGTAGATAGATCCCCAGTCTACAGTAGCATTATGCACTGTCTTTGAAAGAAATGCTTTAACTGTTTCGAAAGGATAAATAAATAGAAATGTAAATAAATCTTTAAAAAGTTTTAAGAGATTATAGTGCCAATTTACAGATGATTGTGATGTGCGACCAAATATGTCAAAGTTTTTCAGATAAGTAACCTGTGATCAACTAGTCTCTAATGACCATATATATGAATAACCAACTTCTGTAGACACCAAAATTTACTGATTCACATCTTTGACTAGCACGACAATGTGTATCAAGTGAAATTGACGGGAAAAATACAGGAGCTTTCCTTAGCAGTACTTGAAATACATATCGTCAGTGACCTATTGCAGGGAAGAAGCCTTATCATGCTATTTCAGGGATTAAGGTCCCCCAAAAGCGATAAAAATGATCACTCTCCATAACTTATAAAACCATCATTCTTGGCTAATATAAATTCTAGGATTAAGGAGACATGGAAGTGACAGTTACTAAAATAAGATCTACAATCCAATAAACGGATCAGTTTATGCGATACGTAGCTGCCGGACATAATAATAGCGCAATTAAATCAACAGATATTGCGCTCAACATTCGTTAGATCATTAATTTTACCAGAATTGAAATTATTCCTAGAATGATGGAGACATAGGCATCAATCAGTTGTCCGCTCATTTTAACTAATGATCAAAATAGGTGGTACAAAGTTGCATCATTTTAAAAATTATATTAAGGAATGCAGAAATCTCATTTACTACCGAAATTTCAATGTTATGAAATAATCCCCATATCATGAAGACAATAAAGGGTTCTTTATTTCGCGATATATACACGCTCCGAGCGAATATGTCCACTAAAATACACACTTAAGCTGGTTACCATTAATGGAACATAGGTAGCCAATTAGCACTATTCAATCAACTCTGTCCTGAGCCTTCCTTGTCAGTTCTTTCCAATTGCTATTCATTCTCTTCACGTCCGTCTCCAAAACTCGGCGCGATGTGTTCTTTGGTCTTCTTCTTTTCCTTTGGCCTTGTGGATCTCAAGTTACAGATTGCTTCCTTATGTAGTTAAGTGCTTTTCGTAGTGTGTCCGATCGACCTACAGCGCTTCTTTCTGATTTCTTCACCAGCAGAAAGCTGGTTTCTTCTCTCCCATAGTAGGTTGTTACTAATGGTGTCTAGACAACGGATTCGGAGTATCTTGCGTAGAAAAAGCTTTATGCCTGTAACTTTCGTACGGTGGCTTTCGTGGTTCCTCAAACATCCGCTCCATACAACAGAATTGTTTAGACTTTCGTACTGAAAATCCTAACTTTGATGTTGATCGAATTATTTTAAGACCCAGACGTTCTTCAACTGTAGAAATGCTGCATATCTTTAGCTAATTCGTGTCTTCACATGGGCATCAGATCCACCTAATATATCAGTCATGCTGAAAAGGCATGTAAATGCCTCTACATCTTCCAAAGCTTCGCTGTCAAGTGTGCTTTGTTTGGTGCATGCTAGACAGTATCGGATGATCTCACAACTTCCCAGATACTAAAACTTCGATCGCTACAACATTAACAAGTCACGGTAGACCACTTATTCTGGAATTTCAAAGACCCATGTACTTCACTGACTAAAGCGATTGTTATTTTTCATTTCGTTCAGTCAGAATTCTTCACCTCTGGTGTCGTGACACCTTTATTCTACATAATAGCTAACCTGGGCTAATTCTCGTTTCCCTGAAATTACAGTCATGGCTGAATTTGAAGAGTATGTATATCAGGAAGTATTACACAAAAACATAAGCTTCCACAGACTGATATACTGGACATCCGTGTATCTCACGGTAGTCGTGGCTTCCAGTAACCTATAGGCCTTTCGGCAAGATTGAGGTTAAACGTTTGAGTACAAAACAGGAGATCCTAGGCTCGATTCCTGCTTGTGGGGTTGTGGATGAGCATCGGTCAGGAGTCCCATGCCAAGTTATCCAATCCTACTTCAGTGGCAATCTAATAATGACAGTTCATTATCTCAATGATATGCATTACCATTGGGCGTAAAATCTCGTTGGAAGAGTATCATTCTCGCCCGATTCTGTTGGTTTCTCTGGCTCTTCGAGGTTACAATGAATCCTCTGAGAGAAATGTCTATTTCGTGAACGTCTTCTGAGATATTGTTCAGTTTTAAATACAAGAAAAAACTACATTTGTTTCGGAAACTAAATTCATTTCCGTGAAGAATGTGGGACAAAGGTAAGGCAGATTCGTTATCTTCGTTGAGCACCACTCCTGACAACATCTCAAGCCGATGAGCGACACTATCTGTAGGACCCTAATCATGAAGCCATGATGAACCGTTGGTGAAATAAAGTTGCGCTTCACGCCACAAACCAGTGCAAGTTGTTTGGATCTGCGTACTTACGGAACTTAAGAGGTTCGATTTCCTTACAAAGCTCCCTTCCGTTAGGTGAGTTGATAATCACTGACCAAGGATAGCAGGATAGCCTGGTAGATGTTGCTAGGGCAGTAGATACAACTGAAGTATTTCTCCAATACCCTTTTCACTATCTGGGATACTTTGAAATGCTACCGTGACGTCGGTCTAATCACTTATTTCCTTCATATCTGAATTCTCACACTGCCTGTAATTCAGATGAGCTAAATGAGCTACCAGATATATCTGTTATTTTGGACTCTATAGTACACCTGGGTGATCTGCGAACTCCAAATCATATAGCTGCATCCGGGCAGTCTACCGTATCGTTTGCTTGTCCTGAAATATCGAGGTCTTCATAATCTAGTCAATCACCAGAAGAAATAGAAAGGGTGAGAGACTAAGCAACCTTGTCTGACACCGGTTTTCACTTTGAATGAGACTATGAGCTGTCCTCCATGTGCGATTTCGCAGTGTAGGCCGTCTTAAGAATTCTGTTCTCCATGGCAATTTCAAATTCATGGAATAGATCATAAAGGGCTTGATCATGTCTGCGGAACGGCGTAAACTTGCCATATCAGAAAAACAACATTATTACGGTAAATGAGGTGTCATTTGTAACAATTTGATCTTGCCTGTAAACTGGCATGCTGCATGTAACACACTGTTACTTGAGAGCAATAATAATCACAACAAATATTATGATTATCATTGCTGAGAGCTATTTTGAATTCGTTGAGTTTGTCAGTATCTCAAAGGAAGGCTGTACTAAACTTTTGTAACGTTGTTTGTCCAGTGTCTATTTAGTTTCACTTTCATCTTGGCTACCACCAGGTGGTGATCTGAAGCTATGTCAGCTCCTCTCTTGGTTCTCACGTCCTCCAAGGTCCTTCTGAACTCCTTACTTACGAAGATGTAATCGATTAGGTTTTTGATAGCGTAATCTGATGAAACTTATGTAGCTTTATGCGAGACCATGGTGCCACGTACAACCCTTTTAGCGAAGGCACATAGATTTACGAATCTCTCACCGTTTTCGTTCCTTTCTCTGAGTACATGTCGTCCAGTCTTCATATCCAGTATTGTCCATTCCAACCTTGATGTTTAGGTCTCCTGTTAAAATGATCAAGCCTTTTTATGAGCATTTTTCTACGACTGACTGCAGTCTTTCACAGAATTGATCTTTATTACCTTCTTTATTTTTATTATTGTCTTTAGTGGGCACATAGGACTAGATGACGCCCATTGTAATTCCCTCTCCCGACCGTACCTGCTACCTTGACGTGATGGTCGGGCTTGACTATCGGCATGACCCAACCGAGCTATACTGGCTGGAACATATGTTCCTCAAGGTTCTACCATGCCAGACAGGTCGATAGGAGAACGATGAGACTAAAAGCAGCTACACAAGGTGTGAGGGCGAAGTCGTACTGCTGACTGCAAAGAGGTGTGACAGCAGTAAAGTGATGCTTCTTCAAGTCCCTCTCAATGTACGGACATTGCATATACCTACATTAGTTATTGCTCTGGTTGTGAGAAGGGCATCAGATTTGTGGCTTTCAAAGAAACTTGGCTTTCATCATGAGGTGTCATGACTCTTCTGAATGAAGACCTACCGACTCCCAAGGCAGAGTGTAGATGTTTTAAATGGTTTTTTCTAGTTGACGATTCCTAGGCAAGTTTTTTTTCTACGGTAGGGGGTTGCTAACCCCATACCTAACCTTCCTCCTTTATCCAAGCTTAAAAACGCCAGTAACGCTAAAAGAGCTCTACTAAAATACTGCTATCAAATGACTCTTGTTGTACGTTTACTCTCTAGTCTAAATAACGACTGATAGATTTTATCGATAGGATGAACGGAGGTAAATTCATCTAAATTTTTCAGCATATAATTCAAAAAGCGAATTCTTATCAAAGATTTAGGTTCATTAGTGCAGTCATCAATAGCTGCTACAAACATATAAAGAATATTTTACTAAAGAAAATTATTTGATACCCTGAGTAAATACAAATAGCACATACCTTTTGGTGCAAAACCGTACACAAAAATAAGTAGTGAGTCACGTGTGCCATTTGGATAAGAGTTGTACGACTGACAGCTAAGTATTCTATCTGCATTTTCCATTCGCAGTCGAAAATCTAAACTTCCATTGGAGTGCATTGTAACATTATAAGCAGCAAATTCCACAGGTTTTTCATTTTCAAGCCACTCATAAACACGGTATTTGCTGTTTTCGACCCCACATGACAAAATAACACGGTCACCTACAGGTGCCGATATCACTTCGATCCTTGGTTTTGGTGCTTCAGTACATGAAAACGTACGAGCATGTACGAATACTGAAGAAAACAGAAAAAGTGTAACAGGAAGCATTATAAGACGGTAACATAGAAATATGGTTGAAAGTAGTTAATAATTAACTTAGACCTCATTGTATGTTGTTGTAATTAGACAGTATGCAAAACGTTAAAAGACTAAACATATCTAGAAGGAAATGAACCATAATAATAAAAGCCAAAAAGTGTAACTCTTGATGATACCATTGGAGGATTGCGAACAGGTATACGTTTAGAACAAATTCAACTTGGTCCTAACTCATTGATCTAATGGTCAGGCACTTGGGATGAGTTCCGAAGATCCTGTGATAGATATCTGAGGTATTAGATGTGCACATTTGAGCCCCAAACCAAAATGAGACACGTATCCAGTACTGCTTAGTTTCTAATGGTACCCTAATCGAGGTCAATTTATGACGAAAGGTAAATATAAGTTAGACCAATCTCCACGAAATCCCGCTATAAATTCTAAAATTGTCCAGCATGTGGCAGATTTATCATAAAGATACACAGCAAACCACTCACTTCCTCACAATTTAAGTAAAAGCCGGAAATGAAAATCGATATATTTTAAATACCAATGTTATTAAACGAATTAATCAAGATTGCCATGTGGCTCTAGAAATTAAATACCTACATTATATACCGACGAATTATATAGATGAGGAGAACAGATTATAAATAGGGATTCATTAAATTGATAATTATAGCAGAAAATCGAATGCTTTAGTATTTATCAACGTCCAGGAATCAACTGGAGATACGAATTACTTACCTGACGTCAATAATCCATTGAGAGGATACAACTTGCTACTTAGTGTTAAACGGCTCAAATAAGAGTGAATTTTATTTTTAAAAGGTAATCCATTGCCTTACAACTAAAATTGTGAAATACCAGTTATAAGCTTTCAGAGAGAACATCTTGCCTTCATTATTTCAAGTAAAAAGATGCTAACAATAGATTCTGAGGGTTGAGTCATCACATAAAAACAGACAACAATTATCAAAATCACGATATTTCAATCTACGTCAGTCAGTCAATCACTTACAACATAGAACTTCGTACGTACGTACATAGGTTCGGGTTGCCATACCACATTAGCACAGAGAAGCACTCGTCAATTCAAAACTCATAGTAGTAGAGGTAGTAGAAGTATTAGCGGTTCGAAGAAATTATTCAAGAAGTTGAAGTAAATTTAGTGAGAGAAAGATAGAGGTGATGAGGAATTCTAAAGATCAGAATTTGAGAGAACACTAAGAGTGGATGCACCCGCGCCATCGTAAACGATTTTGAGCCATGTCGTTCAAGGTCTGCAACCATTGGTGATTTTCGTCTCGCGGACCCCAACCATATAGTCTACATCTATCAACAGGACTCAGTCCATTTGTCAGTGAATTCATGGATTTGTGCCATAATTTGGTTTGGCCGCTCCTAGCTTTCTTCCAACCTACTCCTACACCACGAAGCATCGCTCTTCGAGGCAGTCGGCAGTTGTGTATACGTAACACATGTCCCAACCACTCTTAGTGTTCTCTCAAATTCTGATCTTTAGAATTCCTCATCACCTCTATCTTTCTCAGTTATCCTCAGTTATACTTCTCAAATCACATATTCGAGCTCTAATCTCTCCGATTACTGTTAATACTCCTACTATCACTACCACTATGGAATTTAAACTGACAGTTGCGTTTCGGTGCTGATACAGTATGGCACCCTGAGGTTATGTACTCATGTACGAAGTTCCAAGTTGTAACTGACTGACTGACCGACCATAATAGGAGTATTGGCGGCAACCGAACAATGAAGTTTGAAGACGTTCAGGCAATATAATCCGGTGAAATTAATGTAAAAAGAGATAAGAAAAGGTTCTGAGTTCATGAGAGAATACAAAGAATTTATGCGTCTCCACCATTACAAACCCATAACACCTAGCACTAATTTTGTAATCGTTTGACATAGTCAATTATATGCTAATTCCAGCAAAAACTTTGTGGTTTCGAAATTTTCACTACTAAATACAGTAGTCAACAGCCTAACAGCAGAAACTAGAAAAGATCTGAGCAACTACCATACTTCACTAACTAAGCACGGACTTTTTACCCCAAGTACATTGATTCCAAAGCCGTAAAAACACTAAAGTACATGATTTGAGAGCAAGGGACTATATACCACGTGACCTTAGGCTAACAAATTGTACAGTTAACTATGACCTAATGGTTCTTGAAGTAGCTTCCATATGTATAGTATTCACAGGTTACTCAATATACACCTGGTAATGGCTGAGGGTAACTGAATTAATAAGCATTTCGTACTTGACTAACACACAAGTTAAAGTATCAAATCAAAAACTTATCAAACCTGGTAGGCTCAACCGTCAGCCATATTTCGTATGGGGAATAGTAACATAGTCAGATTATGTAAACCAATATAGATGAACCAGCGAATAGGGAAAACTACAAAATGTGAACTACGTAGAACATTTCAGTGAATAATATTATGTACATGGTTTTAATTCGGTGAAGACATATGAACAAACATGATGTAATAGTAAGATTATAGTGCTAGATAAAATTCTGCAAATAACGTCAGTCAGCAACAACGTAGAACTTCGTGCATACGTACGGACGTACGTACATTAGCTCAGGTTACCTTAGCAATTAACGACAGTAAAAGATTGCTCAAGTGAAAAGGATTATAAAGTTAGTAAGCAACGGATTATGATCTGAAAAGAGTGACATAATAAAACTGTTTTTTAGGACCACAATTACAGGCAACAGAGGGATTTAAATGAAATTGTTTGAGATCAAAAAAGGACTATGAATAAAATTATGAATTTATGGGAAATAATTAGAGGGGGGAAATATCTCCTATCCACATTACAATCAATTGCTGGCTAGTTATTAATTTCACAAGCCTTATACTTGCACATACAATATTTCACTGTCAATATTAACATATAATCTGGTACTATAAGCGTTCTATTCTATCACCATGTTTGTTCACGTCCTCATGAATTAATACTTATGAAATACGTAGGTAACCGGAGTATAAAATTAACCAAACACTTAGCCCATTTACCATATGTACTGTATCTATGATAATTTCGGCATCAGAAAACTAGATATATTGTACTGAAAATACCGATTCCAGTATAAACGATGAGTCACTGGTATATTATGCACATACGGTGAGGTGAGACACCCAGCCTATGAGCCACTACGGTGACAACCAACACAGGAGGGAAGAGTTTAGTTCATTTTCGGCAGATTAAGATTCTTCGCTCTGAGACCCTATCGAAGTATGACCAAAATGATATAATATGCATAAATTCCAAGGTTTGGTGGATTGAAGTCTGAAAATATAGTTGCGACAGAGTAACATGAAGCCGAACTCTTCCAGAGAATGAATGATACCTCTACTAGAAATTTTAAGTCAATGCTTTAAAGGAAACTTGCTGCACGTATTAATGCATATATGTAGCCTAATAATTAAAGTCTTGTTCATTTAAAATTAACTGAAAACACAATTTTGTCTAGCAAGATTTGAGGTTGTACTTTTATCAAGCAACCATACTAATTTATCCTAATAACTATTCATTATTAATGGAAAAAGTATGAGATTTAAGCTTGTTTTTATGGTTGTTTTGAAACTTCAATGCTACTGTTTTGAACACCACAGAAGGATTATATCCCCATCAAAAAAATGAATGCACACTTACTCATAATCATAGAGATTGTGGACCACATAGGTAATGGGACGCACAGTGAATATCATAATAACTTGCAAATTTAACCTAGCCGCGTGAAACAAGCGTTATGTTAATCCGATGCGTAAGTAGAACTTCCAATATCCAATATCTTTTTCATGAGCTAGTATAAAATAATTGATTTCTTTGCGCTCTATTGTTGTTCTCTCTGTGAGGATCCACGTGTTTGGTAGTGTCCAATTGATGGGGTTTAGCTACTCGACTGTGTAATTCTAGTAAATGAGCCGTTGTTTGTTAGCTTACATATACCGTTGATTTAAATAAATACGTTTGTTTCAGAGGAGTAGGGTTTCTAGATACCAGCAGCTATCACATCACCAGACCGAAGATCAGTTAGTTCAACGTAGAGAATAATGAGGATAAAATTTTATTGATAATAAGAGTAAAATTTTAGGATTCAGTATATAATGGATAATTTCGTTTATTAATTAGTGGTGAAAATTGAGCGAGATGACCGAAGTGTATGTTGGCGAGAGAGAACAGACATAATAGGCGAGATAGATTAAGGTAGTGATTTGAGGAGATGGCAATATTAACAACAAGCAAGTCTCACGTCAGGCATCAGGTACAGCTTGTCCACGAGGGAGATGATATTCCGTACGTGTTTATCAAGTTTCTTACTAAAGCTGTCTACTGAGGGGGCTGTGGTCACATCGGCTGGGCGAGCATTCCAAGTTGCGACAACTATTGACGAGCAAAAGTGTGCACGAACCTGAGTGTCCGCTCTTTGGCGTTGTTGTACGCCATAATCGGATCACCTCTGATTCTCCTGTAACTCAGGAGGAATAGTCCCGAGTGTTGGAGTCTTTCTTCGTAAGTTTTATTCTCAACTCTATCACCCATCTCTTTGCTCGCCTCTGCAATCGTTTAAGCAGACGGGCTGCGACGGTGTTGTGAACCTCAAGGTGTGAGCATGTATAATTCTTTCACAGAGTTAAGAATAATTGTGGGGTGATAGCTCCAAGTTGTCTTTGCAGAATGTGAAGAGGTGCATTTGCCTTGACTGTTTCCCCTTATAGTTCGGGCTTGTCTTGAGACCCACCGAGATCGCGCTCTGAGGAGACATTAAGGAGGGTATAAATCGTTCTCATCATGGGGAGCTGACTTTAGATGACGTAAAATTTTGGCTGCTTTAGTTTTAAATCGTTTTCCACTGCCCGTTCCTCGATAGATGTGAGGTCCTTTTGAAGCTCATTTGAATCTCCTTCGCTTCTAATGGACCTCCAGATCTTTGCTTCCTCTACTTAGGTCAATGCCGCTGAGCTAACTGAGCCTAAAAGGTCGTTAATAAATATCAGGGAGAGAAATGGACCAAAAATAACCCCGTTTGAAACTCCAGGTGTTGGGACTGGCCACCTCGCGTGCCCTCTATTTACCTTGGTACGAAAGTTTTTTTCTCAAGGTAATTTCTGAATCAAGATAGAAGTTGGTCAGTGAAACCAATTTCCACAACCCTCGCGATTAGGCGTGTGTGGGATAGTGTGTAGAAGGCTCTTTCATACTAGAAATTTCATTTGCACCGGTATTTTTCGGTTCAGGTGGGATGTCGAAGATCCCTGTGACAAGTGAGTATGATGTAGATGATTTTCTAGAGCTCACTTTACGAAATAAATAGCATTTTCAAACTGTTCGGTTAATTTCAGTGATGTATCTCGATGTTTGCTTGATTGTAGTAGTCCCTATGATAGGTCATTCGACATTTGAATTTAATGTCTACTATCTTCTCTCTAAGGGTCAATCAATCTATTTTTCGTTCAATATTTTGAGTTTCATTCCTGTGTTTTTCATTGTGCGTTGGAAACTGATGGACTTGTGGCTACTGTGACTTTCAAATTAAAAGGCTTTGCTTGGAACGCTCATATAGAAGTTACGCAATGAGAGTAAAACGCAGCACCCTTGATAACTGTAATTTCCTTAATTATTGTACTAATCTAATCCAAGAGACTGAGACTTACTTATGCCAGTTACCCATAATTGGGCCGCCGACTAGCGTTCGCCAAACCACTCTATCCTGGGTCTTCCTTTCAAGTTCTTCCCAATCATCCTTCATTATTTTCATGTCTGCTTCCTATTTTCGGGCACATCTGTTCATTTGTCATCCACCTCTCCTGTGGCCTAGAGTATTCCAATTAAGAGTTTGTCCTATAACGCAATTAGTTGCTTTCCTCAATGTTTGTCCCAAATATGTCAAGCGTTTTTTCCTGATTGATTACTCAGTTGGAGTCACGTTTGTTATATCCCACAGTCGGTTGCTACTGATGGCGTCTGGTCAACGGATCTAAAGTATCTTGCATATATAACTGTGAATCATTACCTATATCTTTCGGATGATGGCTCTTGTGGTTGGTGTAGAGAGCTTCGACACTGAAGAGTAACTTACAGGGAGAACTGGAAACTCCACTTTCTGACTGCTTGTTTATTAAAGTAAATATTGCGAAGTCAGTAGCAGCTTACTCAGAAAACTTGCTATATATTTCAAATTGCAAAAGATTTTATACTGTTTTGTGGATGTTATTAGTCGTCATGAAAGGTGAATGAATACATCTGATATTGCGTGAAGTCCAGATATATTTCTTTATCGTTTGCCGTAAAAACTGAACAGCCAAAACTAATCAAAGTTCTTCGGGTGTCAGTATTTATTTAATATAATGTGCTGCACCTCATTACTTGATACCGATTCCTTCATGCATACTGCAACCAAATTGTGAAGAATAGATACACACTTAGATTTATTAGCAGTTCTACTACTTTTATTATGGAAACTTCGGAATAATTTCGGTCAAATTAATGGATTTACGTGGAGGAAGGCATTCATTACCCATCACGACCGCCTGCATAAGTCCTTCACATAAAATGAAGATACCCTAGGTGGGTTTCATTTCTTTACTACTGTTACTGAGAGTAGTGAGTCCTCCATTTAAGGGAAAAATTTATTGTTCTCCGAAATAATATGCACCTGAAGCCTTCATGTACTTCAGTTACTGGTACAATGGACAATAAGTTGTATCACCAAGCGGATTAAGGATTCACTGCGTAAATTATGAAAGATAAAAAGTTCCTGGTTGTCAACTATGCCACAGGTTAAGGAATAGACCCAGGACCTACATGCTACATCTATAACTGTTTGAACACATAAGATTCGGATACTTCTTTACCCCAAAACATCCTTCAGATTGATTTGTGGAGATATTTCTGTCAACGGGATCGGGTAAGACAGATTACGCATAAGGTACGAAGCTTATTGCTAGTCCCAAAAACATACAATGCAGGTGGGTTCAAAAAAGGGGCAGATCACCATAACTAATAATTCACGTTTGACCTGTAGCTTGTTCTGCTAACCTCGATCTCGATTGGTTGCTGTTGACCCTAAATCTGTCGTTGTTTGTACTTTTGTATTGATTGTATCCCCCTTTCGATCTGTTTCTTGATCCCATGTCATCTATGATTTTTCTGATTGGTCGATAAATTGGGTGAATGTCAATGTGTTTGTTGATTGTTGATTGACCTGAGTGCCAAGCTTCTAAAAATTCGCTGGTGTTCTTTGTCTTCCCCCTGTTTAATATTTTCACATGTCCCAATCGAGTGTATATCCATAATTGTCAGTGTGTATTGGTATAAGCGAAGAATCGTCGTGGTGTTTGACTGCTAATTGGTGTTCACGTAAACGAAGCTGTAGAGGCCATCCACTTTGTCCTATGTAGTGTTTTTCACAGTCTGAGCAATTTATTTTAAAGATGGTACTTGGTTTTTCTTCCTTTGTCATTTTGTCCTTTAGTCGACATAGGGTTGATTGGAGCTTGTGTGCCATACCAATTCCAAATGATTTCAGTAGTCGTGCTGTATGCTCCGAAATGTCTTTTATTTATGGTAGGATGAACCTTTTATTGGCTCCTTTACTTGATTTCACTTCTGTTGACGCTTTACGGTGATGTTTTTTTGTGAAGTTGCGTGGATAGTCGTTCATTTGGAAGATATTCATAATATGCTTTTCCTCTTTTTCTAGTGCTTCATATGTGCTGCAGTGTGTCCTCGCTCCCTTGAACAAAGTTTGTATGCAGTTGTTTTTGCGGGTTCTTGGCTTGTTGATACCGTAGTTGCGTATTACGTCTTCGGTTGGCTCCCAAAATATTTGAGTTTCCAGTTTTTCTGTGTTAGTTCTGATGATTAGTACATCCAGGAACGATAGGCTGTTATCTGATTCCTTTTTCATTGTGAATTTGATGTCATCAAAGTCGTTGTTGATCTGGTTGTAGATGATCTCCTGTTAGTTTCTTTTGATAATGACGAATGTGTCGTCTACATTGCGAACCCACCGTTTTGGCTTGATCAACCGACGAATCTAGTCTCTGCATTACAGCTTCGGCGATGAGTCCTGATATTGGTGATCCCATTGGTGTTCCTTTTGTTTGTTCGTAGACTCTGTTGTTTAACTAAAAATACGTTCTTAAGTATAGATCGATGAGTTCGAGCAGACTTTGGCTCTGAAGCTTTGTATATTTGTGCAGATTTGAGTCGTTGATGAGGAGCAGTGAAAGAGTTTCTTAATTTTTCTCAGACAACAGATTGTCTTGGAAGATTCATTTAGGGCTCAGTACAAAGATCACCTCTCCTTAATTTGTATAAACAATAAGTAACGTTGAACGATTTTAAACTTTATAGAGAGGTGTGCAGCCAATATAATAAGCTGGCTATGCATGAATATCAAACCAAACTTCATAAGTGGGTGAAATATAATGATTTTACTTTTAAAGCTTCAAAGTGCAAAGTAGTTTACCTAATACATGCGGCGGACTATGTATGCAACCTAGGTAACACTCCTCTAGGGCTATCGAAAGTTGAAAAAGATCTGAGAGTCCTGATACCCTCTTACACTAACTGCAACAAAAATGCCTTTCCAGCACACCTTGCACTCGTAACGTTAAATTAATTTTTCGGTCACCTTGATAGTAGAAAATTAGACCTATTCATAAACAACTTTTTCGGTTCCCATGTAGAGTATGGAAATATATTTTTTGCTTCCTATTTCCAAAAGGACAAGGATATTTTATAACGTATCCGTAGGCGAGTCCTGACAACGCTCACTTAAGGTCAGTCCCAACGCATATGGTACTGGGCTGAAGGCACATCTTTTACGGATTGGGAGTAGAAGAATTCTGGAATTAGTTGCGAAATGAGATGGTAAAAGCGACTTTTCTGGAGTCCTTTGTAGGGTGTCGAGTCGAAACTATGATCACCACTACAGACCATTTACGTGCCCGTCACTAAATCTCCGTGAATCGAGGACACGGAAGAAAAGGTAATCCATACCAAAGAATATATCTGCTGGCGATTTTGCGACATCGAAAGATTATCGAAGTCGTGCCAGAAAAGAGGGGTGAAATTACAGAGACAGTAGAGCCAAAAGTTGCAGTAGCAAGAACAGAAAGTTTGCGTGTACAAAAGTGGAATGAACAGTCACTGGTACAGTCGGTTATAATAATGAATGTTTCTGTTCAATCAGTCGCCTTCTCTTCATAAAAGTGAAGTCAATACTCCTCCATGAAGAAATTTCATGATTTATGAATATTTTTCTTTTACTTGTTGAATATACCGAGTTTCCTACATGGAGGAATCGGTGATCCATTTCTATTAGACACTGAAGCTCGTTAAGCGAAATATTTTTATATTCCGTCTACTAACAAATGAACCATTTGACTTGGCCGCTTTCATAAAAATGTTTTTGTTCACGAGATTAATGGACCAATGATTTCGCGCTTTTTTGACCTTCATGTGCTCAGTCGTCTCCGTTATAGGTGCATGTCCTTTCGATTGAGTCCATTTGACTGTAGGCAACCGCTGTAGCCAATCAAAGGATTGGTGGCCTACAGGCTGGTTTTCATGTTACATTAGCACTCATTACCCGATAAGGATCCGCGCTATTCTAAAGGCTGCTACTTTTAATATATTTACTGAGTTTAGTGGGATACGCTTTTTCATTTGACTAGGACAATTGCACAGTGACTATGTAATGATTCCAGGAATTATTGATCTGATTTTTCTGCGCCTCGTTATTCCATTTGTATTGTTTGTAGTTACAGTTGTAAGATACAATGGGTTTTCTTTTGTTTATTTGTTGTTTCTACTCGCTTGCCCTTTGCTCGCTCGTCCCAAGTGTCCGAAATCTACAAGTAAGTTCAAATTAGTTATCCTTACTTTTGTAGCTAAAGTTCAGGTTTACCTTATCTTACTTATAACGCTAAGTTGTGTTTTTACGTTGTCCCACCCAACACTGCACATAGTTCTAACTGTTGCCCCACCGTATGAAAACGCTCTCCGTACATGTAAGTCATTTAGTTCCAGTTACATTGCTATTCATATAGGTCAAGATGCGTCGATTGCTGCTCAAATTGGTGTCCAAAGACTTGAAGGGATGCTACCCTATCGCGCGATGCGGCTTGTGCTACCGGATATTTTCATATTGTCCGTTGCAGTTGCTTCATTGGTCTATTTCAGTAGAAGACGCCGAGTCCCTTCGACACTTTTGTCTTCAAACAATGCGTTATCAGCTGCAGAAAACAGCGTTGTATCTCATAACACTGATGACCTAGAACATAATAAGCCTAGTCCTTTGGAAGCTGCTGTACTCACCAAAACGCTTAGTGTTATGAAAAACAAACATGTGGACCAAAATTACTTTAATTTTACTAAGTCGTGGAATGAAAGCCAGAAAAAACTGTGGCGTGCTTGGGCTATGGATTCTTTGCGTATGTTGACAACAGTACTGCTTGTATGTTTTGCTGGAATAACCTCACCTTCGTTGCTCTCTGGAGTTTATCTCCTATCATTTCTCGCTATATGTACGTATTGGGCTTGTCGAAATGAAGTTAGCCCGATACCATTTGCTTCTTTGCGCATATTCCTTTTGGTGTACAGTGGATTACATGTTTGTCTGTATTACTTATATCAGTTTCCCTTCTTCCAAGCATTTTGCACGGATGGGAGCTTCCTAGCACGGTAAGATACAAACCAGTTTCCGTCTAAATTAAATTGTACGATTCACGTAAAGCTTATATAACCGTAATAATGTGTTGTCTATTGACCTGTTAGTAATATGAAATGAGTAGTAAGCACTTTATATGCTTTGTGGTTATTGGACTTTTATCACAACTATTGTGGTGGAAAGATATCGTTTCTTATTTGCCTGAGATCTTTGTGACAGATCATTCTTTGCGTAAATTAGCAGTTCTTAATTTGCTATCCAGCTGTGTAAATACACGTGAATGATCAAAGTAAGCACCTTAATGAAGTATTACTGAGCTAGTAACTTGTCGCCATGTAGTTGCTACCGGTTTTTAGATTATTTAGGTGATTACAGTGACTCAACCATCAATTGTTTGTAGCAGTGCAAATGAAAAGCAAGGCATATAAAGTAAGGATCGACACAACTTGTATTTTCTCTTTACAATATTTCGCATTAAAACAGCAAGAGCAAATTGACGAAAGGGAAGTCAAATAGGCGTAAACGACAATAGTAACGCTGGCCCAGTGACTATATGAGGATTTATGTGATTTTTAGTTATTGCGTTACTCTTAGAGCTTGAGAAATCCGTCTCGAGACAGCTTGGAATGATATCCAAAAAGCTGTGGAAACAGCAGTGATATCTGCTTTTAAGGTAAACCTCAAGCTTGGGGACTTGACTTGATTTGAGAGCTGGAAAAAACTTTGACATTCAGGGTTAAATGTAATTCTTCATGCTACTACGTATTTTCTGAATGATAGTTGTTTAAGCAGTGTATACATCTCTATGAGTCACTGGCGTAGTATCTATTATCTTGATTATAGGCTACTTGGTTTGCACTATATAATGCGCACCTCATGTGAAAAACCCGGTGAGATTATATTCCCAAGTACTTTTCGTGTTGTTGATTGTCTGGCTCCACCCATTACAATGTTACTGTATTATGTTTTGGTGTTGGAAGTTCGACGCTGGTTGGATTCACATCCTCATGTTTCTTCACAACCGGTAAGTCTCCACATGTATCTCAGGACTGTTCATAATGTGTTTAACGTATTTATCAATAGAAGTGATAATTATATGAAGTAGTTCTACAACCATTTAAACTTTTTGTATGTCTAGGAGGTACATATCCTTACATATGGCATAACACATCTGTGTAGTTCTAACCGGTGTCCAATAATTACATCCTTCGTTTATCATTTTGAAGATTGTTCAATTTGTTTTTTATGTAACCATGTGATTTTTCTACTAAACAACCTAAAGGTATATTTTTTTAACCGAATTCCTATTAAAACTGTTCCATTACTTAATTACAGCTGGTCACATATCCATAATATTTTTAAAAACGTAAAGTTTAGTCGATCTAGGATGTGTAAACTACTGGAATTTCTCGCTGATTATTGACCATTGGTTAGATGTATAGTCTATCTCACTCACAATTATCCTAATACATGGAGAACTTGATGATTTAACTTGTAGTTATTGCTATTGGTGAAACAATTTCCTTATTTGATTTTCTAGCTACTCCGCAACAATATAAGGGATTTTATCTTCCCGGGTGAATTGCCGCCTAGCTGTCTTGGTGAGAATGTAAGTTTATTTAATACCTATGTATCATAAAACAATGGGACCAAATCTTCGAAATACCTGTTGAGTTGGGTGACTTTTTCTTCAGGTTTTACCAATTTACTATAGTTTTATCTATTTGGATACATTTAGACTTCTAAAATAAACCAAAAGCTTAAATTTTTCTCTTGCTAAGTCTCTGCTTTGTATTAGTAAGTCTTGCCTCTATGTTATTCTCTTCATTGAGTACTATTGAGGACCGTCGAGTAAGCAATACAGCTGTTAGAAAACGGGTACTAGGTACTAGTGAAAATTCATTAGTTGAGGTGGTTGGAACATGCCGACCTACCGACTGCCTCGTCGAGCTATGTTCTGCGATGTAGGAATAGGTTGGAAGAAAGCTAGGTGCGGCCAGACCAAAACATGGCCCTTATATCGCTTTTTCATGGTTTGCATTCTGTTATTAAGATTGACTACCGCTAAATTTCACAGTAATTATTTTTGGCATTTTAAGTGCAAATTTATCAATCCTTTTTTTCAAAGAAACACCCTTGTATTGCCTGTGATGAAGAAATCGATTGAAACCTTTTATCCAATCTAGTATCAAAGAAGTAACTTGCCTTATCACTTGAAGTCATTTGGTTATGGATTCAACCATTATTTTATATGCATCGATCAGGAATGCACATCGGATATGCTTTCGTTTATTTTAATTTTATTATTGTATTAGTCATTTATCGATATAACTGTAAACTTTTGTTTTTTATTTAGATGGATAATGCAGATACTGTGCCAACTATTAGCGAGTCGGTTTCTTCTGGAAAACTACTTAATCCTGCAGTTACCTTCACAGATTCATGCTCTTCTACCAAATTAACAACCACAGTTTCTGCTCCATTTAATGACTGTGGAAATAAAGATATGACACTCAAAGATCAATCTAATGTAAACATTGATAACTCGGAATTACATCTTAACCAAAATCTCATCCAAGAACATAATCTGTCAAAACAATCTACGTCCATAGGTCAGGAAAAAAATCATTTATCTCCAGGTATAAGCCAAAATAAAGAGGATTTGTTAACAGATTGCCAAAACCACGTTCCAAAATCCTCTTCTGTCTTTCCTCATCAAGTAAATGCACTACATCTGCAATCAGAAAATAATCCTAACGAGGGATTTTTATCTCCTCCTGTAGAACCTCATTTTGATGCTTTATTTGGTCTTACTCCTCCGTTCGCCACTTACATGTATGGATGGTCTGGAAATAATCTTACTACTGAACGTCCGTTTCTGCTCAGTTTGCACTATTCAGCGATCAAGAATAGCTATATCCTCACGCTTATCGCAATGATGGTAAGACTTTTTCTATTCATTCGTGTGCTTGTTCAATAAGTTTTGATAATCTTAGTAAATACTTTCTGTGAAGTTCTTTACGATTCCGCAAATTATTAGCACATCTAGCGTTCTCTTCCTTGACAGTTTCGCTTAAATAGGGTAATTAGAACAGTTTGTGCAGATAGTTGAGACAACATACAGTTTTCCACAATTGTATTTTAATAGGTTGCCTCGTCAGAGCAAAGCAGAGACAGTAAACAAATGGACAACATACAAAAGACATCATCAAAGGAATTATACAGTGTTAAATGTGTTGGGGGATTATCCTATAGGTGTGACTCTGTTATGGGTCAAACAATGGTCGGTATGTAACGAAAGACTAGACTGTAGGAATAATGGTATAACATAATTTTTGTTTAATTTACTTGTCACCTGATGGTCTTAAACATACGTAACTTTGAGGTAGAATATTTTCCTTTGTGATGTAAATCTTTGTAAGTAGGAAATCGTCATGGTTTTACATTTAGTAGTTAATTTGACTGGCAAACTGTCATAATTAATCACTATTTATCCTTTGAAGTGGCTTAGATTGATGTTTTTCATTCAGTTATAAACTCGCAGGGATTTATTTAGCTTATAATTTAGTTGTCTGGTTCTTGTCTGTATGAATAAGTCAAATAAGTGAATCTTTCAATTTTTAAGGTATTTACTTACTTACGCCTGTTACCCCCAATGGAGCACAGGCCGCCCACCAGTTTTCTCCAACCAACTCTGTCCTGGGCTTCCCTCTCCAGTTCTGTCCATTGTTTGTTCATTCCTCTCATATCTTTCTCTATTTCTCAGCGTAATGTGTTCCTTGGCCTTCCTCTTTTCCTTTAGCCTTGAAGGTTCCATGTAAGGGCTTGTCTCGTGACGCAGTTAGTTGCTTTTCGTAGTGTGTGTCCTATCCACTTCCACCTCTTCTTCCCGATTCCCTCCTCTACTGCAATCTGGTTTGTTCTCTCCCAGAATACGTTGTTGCTGATGGTGTCTGGCCAACGAATCCGAATTATTTTTCGTAGAAAACTGTTAATAAACACTTGTATATTCTGGATGATGCCTTTCGTAGTTCTCCAAGTTTCCGCTCCATACATTAGAACTGTCTTGACATTTGTATTGAAAATCCTGATTTTGGTGTTGGTTGAAAGTCGTTTGGAGTTCCAGATATTTTTCAACTGTAGAAATGCAGCCCTTGCTTTGCCGATCCGTGCCCTCACATCTGCATCGGATCCACCTTTCTCGTCGATGATGCTGTCCAGATATGTAAAGGTGTTAACGTCCTCCAATGCACCTCCATGAAGAGTGATTTGGTTGGTGCATGTTGTGTTGTATCGGAGAATTTTGCTTTTTCCTTTATGTATGTTGAGACCTATTGATGTGGAGGCTGCTGCTACACTGGTTGTCTTCTCTTGCATTTGTTGTTGCGTGTGAAATAGAAGAGCCAAGTCATCTGCGAAGTCCAGATCGTCCAGCTGTCCAGTTGATACCGTGCTTCCCTCCAGATGTTGACGTTTTCATAATCCAGTCGATCACCAGGAGAAAGAGAAAGGGTGAGAGTAAGCAACCTTGCCTGACACCGGTCTTCACCTCGGACGAGTCTGTTAGCTGTCCTTCGTGTACGAGTTTGCAGTTGAATCCATCATAAGAATTCCGTATGATGTTAACTATATTCTCAGGCACACCATAGTGTCGAAGAAGCTTCCACAGTGTTTTCCTGTCCACGCTATCGAATGCTTTCTCGTAGTCGACGAAGTTGATGTAGAGTGGTGAGTTCCATTCAGTTGATTGTTCCACAATGATCCGTAATGTAGCAATTTGGTCAGTACACGGTCGATTCTTACGAAATCCGGCCTGTTGATCTCGAAGTTGGACGTCTATGAAGTGCTTCATTCTGTTTAACAATAACCTGTTAAAGACTTCGCCTGTTATTGAAAGAAGAGTGATGCCTCTGTAGTTCTCACACTTGCTGAGATCGCCTTTCTTTGGTACTTTGATGAAGTATCCTTCTTTCTAGTCTGATGGTACTTGTTCCTCATCCCCAATCTTCTTGAAGAGGATGTGAAATATTTTCGCAGTTGTTTCTACATATGCTTTCATTGCCTCTGCTGGAATGTTGTCTGGTCCTGCTGATTTGCCACTCTTGATTTGTCTGATGACCATGCTGATCTCTTCAATTGTTGGTGCGCCAATAATAATTGCGAGGTCCGTGGATGCTGCGTCGATGTTGTGTGTGTTCACTGGTCGATTCAATAGTTCCTGAAACTGCTCTACACACCTATTTCTCTGTTCTTCAGTGTTGCTGATTACTTTCCCTTCCTTGATTTTCACTGGTCGTTCTGGTTTACGATAGTTTTCGGTGAGATTCTTTGTTGTTTCGTACAATTGTCTAAAGTTTCCGTCCGTTGCAGCCTTTTCCGCCGTCATTGCTAGATCTTCCACATATTTTCGTTTGTCAGCTCTGATGCTCTTCTCCACTTCCCTGTTTGCTTCTGTGTGTGCATCTTGTGCAGTAACTTTCTCTGTTCTTGTTCGGCTGACATTGATTGCTGCCTTCTTGTTCCTTCAATTTTTTCAAGAGTACCAACAGACATACAATCCTTTTGATGGTACTCCTTGTGACCCAGATCTTCGTGACATGTTGAAGTGATTACCTCATTGATCCCTTTCCAATTGTTCTCCAAGGTTGCTTCCTCTCCATTGAGTAGATCCTGAAAGGCCTGGAACCTATTGGTGAGGGCTATCTTGAATTCGTTGAGTTTTACGGTATCCCGAAGAAAGGCTGTATTAAACTGGTGTGATGTTGTCTGCCCCGTTATCCAGGGTTTCTTGAGTTTCAGTTTCATTTTGGCTACCAGCAAGTGGTGATCTGAGGCTATATCAGCTCCTCTCTTGGTTCTCACATCCTCCATAGTCCTTCTGAACGTTTTGTTGATACAGATATGGTCAATTTGGTTTTGAGTAGTGTGGTCCGGTGAAATCCATGTGGCTTTGTGTGTGTGTGTTTGTGCGGGAATATTGTGCGACCGATGACCGGTTTGTTGAAGGCACATAGGTTTGCGAATCTCTCACCGTTTTCGTTCCTTTCTCCCAGTCCATGTCGTCTCATGATGTCTTCATATCCAGTGTTGTCCATTCCAACCTTGGCATTCAGGTCTCTCATAAGAATCGTCAAATCCTTTGGTGAGCATCTGTCGACGATTGACTGCAGCCTTTCGTAGAATTGATCTTGGACGTCGTCATTGTAGTCATTGGTAGGTGCATAGCACTGGATGACGTTCATTGTAATGTCCTGTTTCTTTGTTTTGAAGGATGCTTTAATGATCCTGGGTCCATGAGATTCCCATCCTATCAGTGCCTTTTGTGCATGTTTGGACAGCATCAGTGCAACTCCTTGTGTATGTGAAGCATTTTCCTCTTCATGACCAGAGTATAACAGCAGTTCCCCTGAAGCTAGTCTCAGTTGTCCTATCTGTGTCCAATGCGTTCCACTGATGCTGAGCACCTCGATGTTGTATCTTTTCATTTCTGCCGCAACTTGAAATAGTCTTCCAGTCTCCCACAATGTACGAACGTTCCATGTACCTAAAAGAATGGTTGATCTGGTTGTCAGAAGAGGCATCGGCCCCGTGACTTCCGAAGGAACTCGGCTTTCATCACGCGATGTTCTAATTCTCCCAACTCCCAGGGCAGTATTAAAATGGTTTGAATAATTTTTCCTGGTTAGCGTTTTTTGGCAAGTTAGTTTTAGTTGGGATGGGGTCTCCAACTCCATGCCCAACCCTCCTCCTTGTAATTTATTTAACTACGAATTACTATCCGGGGTAAATTTGTGTTAATAAGCGAATGACTGTTATCCAATTAGCTTGGTGTTTTTTCGCTTCGAACGAAATAGTATTTGAGCTGAATGATACATTTTAACTATCGGTCTGCTTCTGCCTCAGTATTTGTTTGTTTAGCTACTCGCTATTTTTTAAGAAACAGCTTTCATGAGCACATTGTGCCCATTTCTATAGATTATTATTTTCCCTTAACTGATATATATGTATATTGCGTAAAACGTTTCCTGTATGTTTCATTGTTCGTAGGCTTGGGCTGTTGTTTACCGCAGTTGGCTTTCATTCATCCTACTGTTATCTGCCTGCATCCTATGGATTGTTCCTAAATCTAGGGCTGCATGTTTATATTCTAGTCCTTTGATTGTCCTCTATGCCATTGTTCTAATTCTAATCCAATATATCTATGGATTAAACTTGAATTCTGATGAATTACCTCAAGCAGTGACACCTGATGGTTTCCAACTATCTGAGTTAGGAATGCAGAGATCAGATCATTGTGTTGGTTCTCTTGCTCTTCAGGTAATATTTGTTTTCAAAGTAATTTATAACAGACGTAACTATTAAAAAAAACAGCCGCCTACTAACCCTGATTGTAAATCTCCGTAAAAATTTCTGTTTTCATGTTAAAAGTTCATTATTTTTCAGCCCAGTTGAGGCAAGATCTGTTGGCATATCAACCACTTTATTTAAAGTAGCTAATTCAATCACGAGCTCAGTGATCGTACATCGCACGAAACGTTATTCCTGGTATATTGAAACCCCGCTCCAAACTATATATTGGAGCTTTTGATGTTCGAAAGCAAAAGAGATGTAAAAGGCAGCGGCAATAAGTAACATTAGACAACTGTTCAGACTTACCGACGAGACAAATATTAGAAATCAGACTGTTAGTGAGACTATCTCGGAAAAGGGTGGGATTATGTTCATTCTTAATTTAGGAGATTGGATCGATGGGCAGAACATTTTAGGGATCAGATTAACTGGCCTTCATCCACCCTTCGGTTACCCATAATATCCAGTCAACCTGAATGGCAAATCAACGTAAGTGAAGTTAAAAAAGTTATGGAAAATCTAAAACGAGGGAGAGCAGCAGGCCCTGATAGATTGATCCCTGAAATTTTTAAGGATAGTGGTCCAGTTTTAGCAGTGAAATTGACTCAGCTCTTAAGTAGAATTCGGGAACTGGACGTCATCGTATCTGACTGGTCGCAATCACTGATTGTGCCAGTCTAAGAAAGTCCAACAGTCTTCTTTTGACAGTCACAGAGGAATCAGTTTGACTAATGTAGTATCTAAACTATTGGCCTCAATCACACTCCGACGCCTAACTAGAGCTCGTGAATAGCAGACTGGAGAAAACCAGGTTGATTTTCAACCTGGAGGTGGTTGTATAGACCAGATATTAATACTCTGACAAGTCCTGGAACACAGACACACATTTTGACGTCCCACTATAGCTGTCTTCCAAGGTGTGGGCAGCCGGGAAGTAACGTCCGCCCTCATACCCATAAAAGCGCGCGAGACCAAATCGATTAGAATCAAATCATTTTTATAAACCTCCTGATAACTCTCTTATCTCCACGACCAACCCTTCTTTCGATCGTTTGTCACCTCGCGCCGCTGAAGCAAACGGTTTGAGCTCACGAAAAATTATTCCTGGTCTCCTGAAACCACCGAACCATAAGATGCCACAAATCGATGAAGTGATGAACAATTGGATTAAGGCATGGTAATAGGTGTAGACTATTTGTTCGGGTTACACAGACAAAGTATTATTTATTGCTTAAAACAATGACACCCCTGCATACAACAGAGATATTAGGTTGACATCTAAGCCCTAAAATACTTTACGATGTATTTAGCAAGCTAATACATTCCACAGACCTCCAGTTTTGTAAACTGTCCATAGTAAGCTAATTATATAGAGGGAAATAAAATCTTTAGGTCAGTCCTGTCATCGTACCACTGAATAAACTAAAAACGTAACTGTTGAGACTTTACGATTGTGGGGAGTTAAATTCTAGGATAACAAAAAGTGATAGTCCCAAAATCTAATAAGGACGTTTTGACGACCGAAGCTGCTACCTTGACGTGGTGGTCGGGCTTGCCTATCGTGATGACCCAACCGAGCTATACTGGCTGGAACACATGTTCCTGCAGGTCCTACCATGCCAGGCAGGTCGATTGGAGAACGATGAGACTAAAGCAGCTACCCAAGGTCTGAGGGCGAAGTCGTACTGCTGACTGCAGAGGGGTGTGACAGCAAAAGGTGTTTCCCTCGGACAACCAGCATCTGCAGCGATGCTGCCTTCTCACAAGGAAGGAAGGGTTAGAAAAGGTCAGCCCTAAAAAATGTCACACCTCCCCTACCTCACGGATTTCCGTCTCCTTGGGTAAGGGTGCCCACTGAGGGCCTTTAAGAGCGGAGACCTCACCATGTCAAGATAAAGAAGCAGCTCGATTTACCCTTCGTGTATCCGGTAGCCCTGATGCTGCTTCTAAGGGCCTCGCCGGTGTAGGTATAGCATTGAGTCGTAGGGCAGAACAAT